AGCCGCATGGAGGCGCTGGACGCTCCGAGCCGGTTGGCGGCGCGACATGTGTAGTTGCCATAATGCCGGGCGCTCACGTTGGCGAACAGAAGCATCGAGCGGGTACGCTCCGTCTGCACCTTCAGGCCCTCGGCCGTGCCGCTGCTCAGCCTGCCGGGAAGCGGGGTCAGAGGCCAGACCGCCGGACCTAGGCCCAGGACGCCCTGGGGCGCAGAGCCCAGCCCCCGCCCCCCAACTCTGATCTCCAGCTTCAGGGACCCCGAATCCCCCGGGGGCTCTGGTCTCCAGCCTCGGGGGTCTCCGATCTCCGGGGACTCTGGTTTCCAGCCCCGAGGTCCCCCGAGCCCTGGGGACTCGACTCCAGCCTCGGGGCCCCCGACTCCCAGGACAAACATTCTGCCCCCACCCCAGGGACCACTAGAACTTGGGGGTTAGCTCCTTATGGATCCCAGATCATTCCCCCTGGGATTTCTCCATGTACTCCTGCCCCTCAGAACAGTGGACTCTCATGATGTGCGCCCCCAATCCCTAGGGGCTCCCAAATGCTGACGGACCCCAACCCCAACAGTCCTCTAAATTTCCGCCAAAGCTTCAGCATCGACCCCCGACCCCCTCCCCTCCCTGCATAGCCACGGTAGCCCGGTCTCCAGCATTCAGCTTCCTAGGACTCGAGTTTCCAGTACATCCCCACTGTCTCCCCGGGACCCAGCAGACCCCATCACTGAGAGAAGCTGGATCTCCCCGGTTGTCGGGACCCAGGACTGCTCCCTCCAGCTCCCTGGCCCCCCAGTTGAAGGGACCAAGGGCCCCCCTTCTCCGTTTCACCGCCCGTTCCGGGGCTGTCCTCACAGTCTGTCATCCTTGTACCACTGGAAATCTGCCGGCGGCACCGCCATGGCCTCGCAGCGCAGGAGGGCGGCGCGGCCCAGGGCCGTGCGGGCGCTGGTCACGTCAGTGATGGTCGGAGGATCTGGTGAGGGGCGAGGGTCAGCGATTTCTCCGAGCCACGAGGGACTAAGGGGTCCCGGCCTCCTCCGCCCTCAGACCTAGGAGTCCGAGCGCCCCAGCCCCCTCCTCCCTCAGATCCAGGAGTCCCCCACCCCTTCTCCCTCTGACTCCTTCTCCCGAGGGACCCACAGTCCTCCCCCCTTTAGCGCCCAGTGCTAAGAGGACTCACAGTTGACTGTGACCAGCACGCGACGGCTGTCGGGCGCGGAGTTAACCCCGTTGTGAGTCACACACTCATATTCGCCGGCCTGGCCCCGCTGGATGTCGAAAATCTCCAGGATCTCGCCCTCGGAGGTGAAGCCATCTGTGGTGGGAGGGAGGGGGAGGGGGCAGGGCCGGACACAGACACTTAACACGGGACAACACGGGCACAACACGGACACACATCAGCGGGGCGGGCACCGCAGGGCCTGGACTGCCCGGTCCAGGGGAGCTGGGGAAGGGGGTGCGGCTTATGGGACCTGGGGTCTCCTGCTGGGGATAGGGGAGGGAGTGGGTATCTGGGGTTTGTAACTGTAACCCAGTGGGGAGGATCTCAGTATCTTGGCTCTTTGGTCTCACAAGGATCTAGGAAATACAGATCCAGGGGGGCAAGGGCCAGAGTTCTGGGATCTAGCTCTTAGGATCCAGAAAACCAGGATCTGGTGATTGGGATCAGAGATCCAGATATCTCGTATCCTACACCAGATCACCAGGCTCAGAAGACCTTAGGATCTAGATTGGGATCTGAGACTTAGGGTATCCAGCATTCCCGGATCTCAAGAGCAGGATCGTGAGGATCAGGTGATCCAGTGGGGAAGGATCCAGGGATCTGAGGTCTAGTCATTGGGTTCTGGGGTCTCAGGGGATTCAGGGAATAGATCAGTGATTGGCACTATGAGTCTCCAAAGACCTAGTTTGTGAGCATCCAGGAATCTGGGATCTGGTGGTGGAGGTCCAGGTAAAAAAGGCTGGTAGGTGATGTCTGGGGATCTGGATGTCATGTGCTGCCACCTGGGCACTATGGGGACAGCCAAGAACTGTGGTTCTCAAACCTGGCCAGCATCAGAATCACCTGGAGGGCTTGTTAAAACAGTGCAGGGGGGTAGGGGGAGTCTTCTGATTCAGTAGGTCTGGGTGGGGCCCAGGAACATGCACTTCTAACAGGTTCCCAGGTGATGCTGATGCTGCCGGCGCGCAGACCATACTCTGAGAACCGCTGGGCTCTCTCAGCAGACGAGACATAGGAATGTGGACCAGAGGATGTACTGGGTGTAACCCCACTTCTTGTTGTTGCTGTTAGGTGCTGTCGAGTCATTTCCGACTCAGAGCAACCCTATGTACAACAGAACGAAACACTGCCCCGTCCTGCGCCATCCTCACAATCATTGCTGTGTCGGAGCCCACTGTTGCAGCCACTGTGTCCATCCATCTTAGGGGCTGAGAAAATGGGAATCTGAGTTGGGGAGAATCCTGTGAGTGTGAGGGGAGAGACTGGGGATATTGGGGTCGGGAAAAGGGGTAAGCGGGGGTCCAGCAGATGACTTGGAGGCAGGTCCCAGGCCTGGGATGGCAGGTGGAACCTGGTAAGCCTCTAAGGATCTGGGGCCTGGGGGATCAGCGTGGGAGGTGGAAATCAAGTCATGAAGGGTTAGAGGGCAGAATGAGGGAGAACAGGGGCTGGGAATGCAGCCTTGGGGAGTGTGGAATCGAGGGACTCAGATGGTGGAGTAGGGGGAAGAGGCTTTCAGCCAGGGATGGGGTCCTCACCTCGGAGCTGCCTCCAGGTGACTGTGGGCTCCGGCCGCCCCACGGCCAGACAAAGCAGATTCACACTGCCCCCCTCATTCACCGTCACAGGCGAGGAGATGTTCACAATGCGGGCGGGGACTGCCAGGCAGGGGAGAGTCAGTGAGGAGCCAGACACCCTCCTCCCTCAGACTCAGGAGTCCTGGCCCCCCACACCCTCCTTCGTCAGACCCAGGAGTCTGGGTTCCCAGACCTCTCCTCCCTCAGACCCAAGCCCCAGGCCCCTAGGCACCCCCCCCCAACCCAGGAGTCCAGGTCCCTAGCCCCTCCTCTCGGAGTGCAGCCAATATTCACTCTGTGTTTCTATAAGAACTTCCTCCATCCCCTCACAGCCTCCACCCACCCAGGCCAGGGCCGTGTGCTCACCGTGGACAATGAGGTAGACCTGAGTGGTGTACGGCTGGTGGCGGGTCTGGAAGGAGCAGGTGTACAGGCCCTCATCGCCGAGTCCCACCTGGGTGATGAGGATGGAGAACTCCTCGGGTGTGTTGATGAGCAGCCGCACCCGCGGGTCACTGGTCCAGCGGTCGTTGCCCGCGTACAGGATGTTGGAGCGGTTCAGCCAGGCCACGCGGGTCACATGCTCGTCGATGAAGCAGCTGCCCCAGAGGAGGGGGAGAGGAAGGTTCTTCTCCCCCCATCCCTTGGAACCTGGCCCTCCAGCTTCCCCAGTCTGAGGTGGCAGGGAGGCCCACTATGTCTGAAATTTCCACTGCAGCCCTACGAAGCAGATATTCCTGTGCCCATTTGACAGGTGGGTAAACTGTACCTCAGAGAGGGCAAGTTGTGTGCCCCAAGTACCATGATGGAATGATAACTGATGGTTATTAAATGGCTGTTTGCCAGAGACCCCAGAAGAGGGGGACAGAGACCCAGAGAGAGTGGGGGGACAGAGACCAAGGGGATGAGGTGGGACAGGACCCAGAGAGGAGGGGCAGAGACTCAGAGAAAGGGGAATAGAGACCCAGAAAGAGGGGGGCAGAGACCCAGAGAGAGAGGGGGACAGAGAACCCAGAGAGAGAGGGGAGATGGAGACCCAGAGAAGTGGGTGGAACAGAGACCCAGAGGAAGGAGGGACAGAGACCCAGAGTGGGTGGGGGGGAGGCAGAAATCTGGATGAAATAATCACAATGACCATCATGTACTGAGCAGCTACAATGTGCCAAGTACTTTGAGCACTGTGCGTGTATAAACTCACGAATCCTCACAACAATCCCCAGAGATGGTTGCTGTTCCTCCACCCTCTTGACAGGTGAGGACACTGAGGCCCAAGGGTGGAGCTGGGCTCACAGTCACTCCTGACCACCCCTCTCCTGATGAGGAAGTGTCAGGCCAGGTCCTCCCGATGTGCCAGGCTGTCTCTGCAAGTCAGGACTTTCCCCCTAAACCTCTTTCACAGAGGCAGAAGGTGAGGCTCTGGAAGGTGAAGGGGCAGAATCCAAGGCTCCTGGGCAGCAGGTACCTGAGGGTGGCGTTGTCGCCTTCGCACACGGTGTAGTTGTCAGCTGGAGAGTTTAACTCCAGGCTCTGGGACAGCAGCCCTGCGGAAGGGAGGGCATCACAGAGTCTGTACGCAGGTGTGGGTACACATGCACACACGCACTCGCCCTTGCAGCCACGCACATTCCCCACGCTCACTGGCACACACGTTTTCAGAGGTGCACACACGGCAGCCACCCTCAGAGCAGACACACGAAACACATGCAACACGGACCCTCCCACAGGCCTGCACTGATGCGCTGACATACTCCGGTAGGTAGGCTCCTACGGACACAAAAACATACCTTCAGGGACATATAGACAACAGCCCAATCACAGTACTCAGACACACATATACATACACACAGACACACGTACAGTGACATGCACATATACATACACATATGCACATGCAGAGACACACAGATGCAGACACAAGTGTACAGACACATACATACTCATAGAAACATGTATACACAGATACAAACATCCGTATGCACAGAGATGTGCACACACCTACATACGCAGACACCTATGTACACAGATACACATATACAAACGCATGGATACACATATACATATGCACAGATGTGTGCACAGATACATACACATACTCAGATGCACACGTACAGACATACACATACATGTGCATACATACGCACACACACAGAGATACATGTACAACATAATGCAGGCACACATGTACAGATACATGCACACATACATCTTAATACAGAATCACATGGAAAGACATACACGTGGAGATCCTGCTGCATGCAGATACTCAACACAGACGTGTATACAGACGTTCAGACACACAGATACATGTATACAATCACAGAGGTACACAAACTGATGCATGCATATATACACGCAGACACACATCTGTCACAGACACACAAACACACTCTTATACCTGGTGCACAGACACAGGCAAGCCAGCGCACACACACACACACATCTGCACAGATGCATCCGTATGTCCACCCTCACCAAGGCACGCACTCACAGCACACGCCCATGCCGCCTGCACGCTGCTCCAGAGCAGCATGCAGGCCAGCCACCCCACCCTCACTCATTCGTCTCTCTGTGGAGCAGGGCCAGCAGGCTGGACCGTGGCCAGGGAGTGGGGGCTGGGCACGCAGAGGCGGTGGAGACAGCACCAGGCGGGGGACGGAAGGAGGCTGGATGACCTTGGATGCCTGGGGAGGCAGGGAGGGCCCCGGAACAGGGCTGCCCTGCCCCCTGCCTTGGGATGAGGAGCTCATTAATCTAATGAATTAATTGTCCGTGCTGCCCCAACGACTCCCGGGGGTCTCTCTCCATCAGAAGCCCCTCAGGATGGGGCTGGGACAGAGCTAGTGCAGTGGGCTCGCCAAGCTACAACCTGTGCAATGACAGACTTACACCGTCACATCCTCTCAAATACAAAGGGGCCCCCCTGGGCCAGCCCAACTGCACACAGTCACTCTGTCACCCATGATCAGATTGCACATGGCCACTTGGAAGAAAGCCCTGGTGATCTGCCTCTGAAAGGCCACAGCCTTGGAAACCCTAGGGAGCACAGTTCTACTCAGCTCACACAAGCTTGCCATGAGACAGAATCGACCTGATGGCAACCACCATCACCACCAGCAAACACACACACACACACATGCGTGCGCACACACGCACATACACACTGAGTTGGAAAGTGACATGTGAGAAAGATACATCCTGGGCCAAAAAACAGTTGCAGGGGATGTCACTTTCAGTCCTGTAAACCCACCGTCAAAGGTTGGATCCCAGGCTGGCCGAAACAGACAGACACACACACCCCAACGTTTGTCATGCTCCTGGTCACACACATCCTAGACCAGGGTTTCTCAACCTTGGCACTATTGGCATTGGGGGCTGGATCATTCTTTGTGGTGGGGGCTGTCCTGAGCATTGTAGGATGTTGAGCAGCATCCCTGGCTTCTACCCAGTAGATGCCAGTAGCAGCCCCCACTCCCAAGTTGTAACAACCCAGAATGCCACCAGACATTTCCAGATGGCTCCTGGGGGGCAAAATAGCCCTTAGTTCACAACCATTGGCCTAAAGGAACCAAGAAAAAAAAAACACAGTTGCAGTCAAGTTAACCCCGACTCATGGCGACCCTATGTGTGTCAGAGTAGAACTGCGCTCCATAGGGTTTTCAATGGCTGATTTTTTGGAAGCGGATCACCATGCCTTTCTTCCGAGGCACCTCTGGGTGGACTCGAACCTCCAACCTTTCAGTTAGCAGCTGAGCTAGCTAACCAACCATTTGCAGCCCAGCCTGGGGTTGAAGAGGGAGCTGTCCAAGATTCTTCCCAAAGGTTCAGGGAGCCCAGGGCTTCTGGATTCAGCCCCTAAGTCCAACCAGGTGCCACCACCCACAAGAGCTGAGCTTGCAAACTAGGGCCCTGGGGTGCAGAGTGGACCCCACACAGGTGGACAGAACCTTAACCTAACCTTAGCAGAGACGCTGACAGAGAGACAGATAGACAGATACACACATATCCTTCTTGCTAGAGAAATCTTTCTAATACCCAGAGCTGGTCCTGCCTCTCCTCTGCTCGCAATCCTCCCATGGCTCCCCAGTGCCCCCAGGACCTAGCTTCACTCTCTTCGTCCATCTCCCCTGGTGCACGCATGGCCCAGCTCCACATCCACCCCCTTCTCCCAACTTTCTGTCCCCATCGTTTCCCGGCAAAACCTTTGTCCCTTTGTTGTTACTGTGTCCTGTTGAGTTGATTCAGACTCATAGTGACCCCATGTGACAGTAGAATTGCCTCATAGGGTTTCCTGGGCTGTAATCTTTATGGAAGCAGATTGCCAGGTCTTTTCTGCAGCGGAGCTTCTGGTAAGTTCGAACCACTGAGCTTTCAGTTAGCAGTCGTGTGCTTAACCATTGTGTCACCAGGGTGTCCTCGATAACATCTTTAAAGACGCTATTTCCAAACAAAGTCACACTCACGGGTACCGGGGGTTAGGACTGCAGCATATCTTTTGGGGAACACAATTTAATCCATAACAGGGAGCAATGAACAAGTAACTAAGAGTTACTGGCGACAAGTTACATGGTGACAAGCTCTATGAAGAAAAATAAAGCAGGGTAAGGATGATAAAAACCAAAACCAAACCCGTCGATTCTGACTCATAGCAACCCCATGTGACAGAGTAGAACTGAGCTCCGTAGGGTTTTCTTGGCTGTAGTCTTTACAGAAGCAGGTTGCCAGATCTTTCTTCTGGTGGGTTCAAACCGCCAACCTTCCGATTAGCAGTCAAGTGCTTAATCACTGTGCCACCAAGGCTCCTTCCTTCTCCCTTTCAAGGGGCCTAATTTAAATGGTGCCTCTCTTAGGAGGCCTTTCCAACCACCCGGGACCAGATGTGCGCTCCTGTCTGCTCTCAGGTCACTGTGCACCTGGGATTTGAGTTGTCTGCCTCTCTGTCTGATTTCCCACCACGCCAGAAGCTGCTCTTCCAGTGCAAGGCCTGGGTTGGCCCATCTCTGTGTCTCCAGCACACCCGGCTTGGGGCCTGGCTCATGGCAGTCCCAGGAGATGTGTGATGAAGGAGTCAATGCCTCAGGTGGGCTTTTGATTCCCGATCTGTGTGCATATGAATTTGTATGTCATGGGTCTGCATATCTGTCTCACAAAATCTCCAGACTCCAGCATCAGGAGTCCCCTCTGTGCTGTGTGACCTTGGGCATGTACCTTCCCCTCTCGGTTATTGTTGGTTGTCCTGAAGTTGGCTCCCACACATGGCGACCTTATGTTTAACAAAATGAAACACTGCCTGGTCCTGCACCATCTTCATGATTGTTGGTACGTTTCAGTCCATTGTTGCAGTCACTGTGTATTTTGAGTGCCTTCTAACTTAAGGGGCTTATTTTCCAGCACTACATTGGATAATATTCTGTTGTGATCCTGTAGGAATTTTATTGGCTAATTTTTGGAAGTAGATCACCAGGCCTTTCTTCCTGGTCTCAATCTGGAAGCTCTGTTGAAACCTGTCCACCATGGGTGACTCTGCTGGTGTTTGAAATACTGGTGGCCTAGCTTCCAGCATCATAGCAACACCCAGGCTACCACAGTCTGACAAACTGACAAATGGGCGGTAAGTACGGGTCTGTGAGGGGGGTCAGGCTAGCCATTTTGAGTCCTTTGTTCAGTGCTGACCTTTTAGAATTCTGTGACCTGCACTGTTCCTGGGCCTGACCCTTCCCTCTGTTGCTGCCCTAATCACCCTGGGCTATGTCCATGTCTGCCTCCCCAACCAGACTGGAGCCTCTCCAGGTGGAGCCTGGATCTGACCCAACTCCAGGGCTCCAGTATCGCCCAGCTCAGGGCCTGGCCTACAGAAGGCCTCAAGCGATGTTTATATATAAACATATAAGCTAATGCACATGGGCTTCTCTCTGGAAATTCTGGAAAACTCTTACAGTTGCCACGAGACTCAGTTTGGAGTAGCCTTGCCTGTCCCTCTGGGCCTGGTCTGTGTTCCTCAGATAAAGCCTGGACTGCCTCCATTAGCACTTGGATCACACTATGGTGACTGTCTATGTCTGTCTCCCCCATCAGACTAGAAGTTCCTTGAGGACAGAGCCTGGGCCTGACCCATGTCTGTGTCCCCAGCATCTCCTGGCGCAGACCTGGCCCACAAGAGGCCTAGGGAAATATTTGTTGAATGAGTACATAAAAATGACTGCCTGCAACACCCTTCCCCAACTCTTGAACTCTTCCTACTCATTCTTCAAGACTCAAGCTCAAATGCCACCTCCTTCAGGAGGACCTCCCTGACTATTTGTGGCAGAGTCTCTACCTCTTCTTCTGGGCACCATCTCACTTAGTTGGGACAGTATCCAAGAGTGCCTCCCACACCTGACCAGGAGTTCCCTGAGGGCCTGAATCTTGTCCTTGAATCCTGTACCCAGGGCTGAGCCTGGCTCAGAGCAGGGTAGTGTTTCTGCAGGGAATTGATGGTCACCAGAGACCTCATGATAAAGCCCTGAGGAGCCTGGGTTTGGAGATCAAATGTGTGCTCCATTATTTCCTGGCTGGGTGACCTTGGGCTAATCTGAGTCTCAGTTTCCCCATCTATAAACAGAGAAAAATAATAGGTCATGCAGGCAAAGTGTTTCGTTCAGTGCCCGGTATACAAGAACCAAAAAACCAGTTGCCGTCAAGTCAACCTCAACTCATGGAGATCCCCTGTGTGTCAGAGTAGAACTGTGCTCCATAGGATTTACAGTGGCTGGTTTTTTGCAAGTAGATTGCCAGGCCTTTCTTCCAAGGCACCTCTGGGTGGACTCGAACCTCCAACCTTTTGGTTAGCAGCTGAATGTGTTAATCATTTGCACCACCCAGGGACTCCTGGCATGCAGCAAGGGCCCCAAAACTGTGAGCTGTTCCTAATAGTGACTTATTTTGTAAGAAACATCTATTGCTATTCCTGGTTTGGCATTGGTCTCTCTGCACTAGATGTTATGCTCCTGGGGGCAGGGCCATGTCTGGGTATTTTCAGTTGCTCCACACTCATCAGCTACCTGAGTCCGTGATTCACAGAGATGTTCTCTAAGCATCCACCCTGTGACTACACCAAGACAGCATAATCAACACATACAGAGGGAAGACGGCCATGTGAAAATGAAGGCAGAATTTGGAGTGATGCATCTACAAGCCAAGGAACGCCAAGGATTGCGGCAACACCAGAAGCTAAGAGAAACGCATGGAACAGATTCTCCCCCAGAACATTCAGAGAGACCTGGGCCCTGCCAACACTTTGATTTTGGACCTCTGCCCTCCAGATCTGTGAGAGAATAAATTTCTGTTGTTTTGAGCTTCCCCTCTCCCCAACAACAACAAAAAGAACAGCATAACCAGGTGGCTAAGGTAGGGGACACATTACCAGGAAAGAGCAATCACTAGAAAAGAACATCTTGTTTGCTAAAGTAGCAGGTCAGTGAAAATAAGGGAAACCCTCAATGATATGGATTGACAGAACAGCTGCAACAATGGACTCAAACATACCAACTATCACAAAGATGGTGCTGGAATGGGCAACGTTTCATTCTGTTGTATGTAAGATCACCATGAGTCGGAGCTGACTCGACAGCAACTAATAACAACAAGGGAGGGGATAGTGGAGCCAGGCTGCCTGGATTCCACTGAGTTGTGTAAGTTACTTAAA